AAACTGCCCTAATTGTTTCTGACAGCAAATATGTCCCATGAAATTGACTTGGGATGAGTGTGTGTGTGTGTACATCCACATGTGAGAGCATTAACGTGCTGAAGTGCGCCGGAGCGGGGTGACCGAGACTGGAGAGATGTTGTGGTAGGGAAAACAGCAAAGGAAAAAGAGCATGAAAAACAATTCAGAAAAGGGATGAAGATGTGAGGCCGGCAGGGGGGAACGCGGCCCTGTATCTCCTCTGCGAAAATCTGGAGATGTTTAACTGGCCTCGATACTGTCCTCAGTTTTTTGACAGCAGCATCTACAGTTTATCATCACCATCATTTTCTAGTCCTCTCCTGCCATTTTTATAGGACTTGGCAGAAATGTGGAGATAGAGGGTCCAAATGAAAGACAGAAGGGGTGACAGAGTGACCAGCAGAGGATAATCTGGATGAGTAGCAGCTGAGAAAGGAGGAGGGGGTGTGATCTGCATGATGTTAATATATTATACTCATAATTTTTCCTTGTCCTTCCTCCATGGTTTCACTTATTGATGAACATTCAGCTCAACCAATCAGGGATCCAAAAGCAGTACAGAGCAGAGACAAATAACCAACATCACCATATATTGAAAAATTATCAATATAATCTGAAATGTGGATTTAGTTACATTTGACATGGATTTAATTTAGAATAAATAATTTCATGTTATTTCACTTAGCTAAATACAATTCACTGTTTGAAAATGTTTTAAAAGGTTTATACTTACAGCCTTATGAACAGACCACATTGCAGTGTAGCTGTAAGATCTTAGCACTCATTCTCTTAATGTCCAATTTCACCATGATCCAGATTATCAAAGGTGGAAGCTTTGGTAAAATAAGCTTGTAGCTATGGAAAATAATTCTGTTAAATGCTTTCAACCGTAACTAAGGCAGTGTAAAAATCTTGTCACTAGTTCTAAATTTTTATTGAACATCAACAAATGTATTTTATTAAAGCTAACGTGGATATGTTTGGCCTAGCCCTACATTAAAAACACCTCTCATGTGTTTGAAGGAAAGCAAGTCCATGCATTGCTTCTGAACAACCAGACATAGATCTGCAATCAGATAGTTCAGCGTTCAACTGAATGATAGGCTGTCATAAATTTCAGGCCTATGTGAACTAACCAAGAAGCCTGAATCTGATGTGGAATTAGCGTTTATATCCAGACATCATATATCTGTATTACACTTTAATCTGTTTACATTTTTACGCCAAACATTTTTGTCCTCTGAATGTTTCCGCTTCTTGGCCTGAAGAAACCATGTGAATGGGTGCCAGGGCTTGCAGCGTCTCTACTTTCACTTTGCTGAATTGTTGCCAATTCTGTTAAGGTCACACCTTTTTCGAGGTTGTACGACGTTTTATTTATGTCTTAGAACAAAGTGAAGATTTTATAGCTCAGAATAGATTCTTTCTTGTCACAAATTGGACCCCTTATCCCCTTGCTCACTTGGAAAATTGCTCAATCACCATAACTCGTGGTGGGCCTGTGCCTTCTCGTCTGATTGAAACCAGTAGGATTATCAAAAGTGCCAACATCTCCCAGCCCAGCTTTACAGATGGAAAAGATGCATTCCATCTGTAAAGCTGGGCTGGGAGATGTTACACCTGAGATGATGGAGACAGTAGAAATAAATGCTGACAAATGTTTTACATTGCAAGCTCCAAAGGACCCTCTGAAACACCCTTGTTCCAGGTAAATGTTTTTAACCCATTTTTCCAGACCCATTTTTCCTAAAAAAGAAATAATAGGGAGTTGAAAACTAACCAGATGAATCCCATTTATCACATAAAAAAATAAAAAATTCAGGTACCACCGTAAAACGTCAAAGATCTGTGATTTCCAGAAGTTCCACCAGCCATTTTTAATAAAGTTTAGTTTAAATCGGTTGTTACACCTGTGTTACTGTGGGTTCTTATGGGTTAAGGTAGAAAGGCAGATGGCACAGTGAACACCTCATGTTTAAAATCACTTTAGCCCAAAAAGAACCGTTTCAGTACAGAGGGAGACGGTTTCTGTATTGACACGTGTTCCTGGGTTTTTCTCCTTATTTACTTCTCTTCTCCTCCAGCCCTCCCCACGGACTTGTGACTAATTAATTCATCAGGGGTGAAAGCATTATTTAATGCTCTACTGCTTTTTCCTCTACCATCTTGTATAACTCTGTAGGTGGCAGGTTAAGCTGTGTTCTGGGCATTATCCCATTTAACTAGCACAGATTACTGCTAAGCCAAAGGTCTCTGGACCATCAGTAGGTTTTATGTTTTACTGGCATGGGAAAGAATTACCGTTGTAATTTTTCACCAAGATTGTGTCTTATCATCATCACTTTCATTATTGTGATATAAGGGGGATTAGGCCTCAAAAACCTAATTTAGGTCTCCCATGTTGAACTGACCAGTTTCTCATTGCAGTCAACTGCTGGACAGCCAAAGCAATAGTAAGCAGCTGTATCAGCGCACACGGTCTGAGAATTTAGAAGAATGAGGCAAACAAATACAGTAGAGAACTTGGAGTTCTGACCATTTTCACACATAACATGGACAATCACTGCAGAAAGCTTGTGGGAGTTTTGATATGTTGGTTTTGGAAATGGAAAAGAAAAGAAAATGTGATGTGGCAGAATTCTCCTTTTTATCGTACTGGCAACTGGAATGGTTGACTTGCCTGAACACATCTTAAGTATTATGTTGTGGATTTAATTCCGTTTAAGGATCAGAAAAAAATTCTGTGGCTTGTCCAGAGGCCGTAAATTTTTAACTGTCAGGCTTTAGGGATTCGCACATCACCATTCGTACTATGAAATGTTGTTTAGCTGCAGCTAATCACTACAAAAAAAGTATTTCTGTCAAATCTTTAAGAGAGAACACCTTTTGAAAAGTGAAATCCTTTAACGCCTAATTTCTGACCTTTCACAGGAGCTCTGTTATCCACACTCTAACCCCATCATACCGGAAGCACAAAGAAGAAAAAGCCCTGTAGAGGCCGAGCCTGCATATTTGAATGTAAAGCAGTGCATTTGGTTCAGGCTAAATACAGCTCACTCTAGAGAGGGTTTAAGAGTCGTTAAGGCAGCTTATCCAACACTCACACATGCACACACTCATTGTGGACTCACACATCCTACTAGGTGCACACATGACAACATGCCGGCAGACAAAGATAGACACATAAGTCTTCTAATAGTTGTTTTGATGTTGGCAACATGATTGTTCTGATGAAGGCAAGGTTTTCAGAGGGAGTGCCTGCTCTGTTGCAACGCAGCTAAGTTGCTCAAAAAAGGATGCTAACAATTGCTGTCGGGGTTCTCAGTCAGAATTATCATCAACGCGTTATGCTAAAAAAGCTACTCAAAACTTTGCACTTTCCTCTTACCACCATTTGATAGTTGTTTCACAGTGGTCACACTCCTCTTACACACTAACACGACTCATTATTATGCCAAATTTTGAAGTAAAATCTGCATTTGTCTCTCCTGAATTGGGTTGGTTCAGCCTGTTGTTTTTTGCTTTTGAGACAAATATATTCTGGAGATCAGATATTGTTTTATGTGTATAGATTAGTTTCACAATACAGATTGTCATACAGTCATAATATGTACATCAGTAAAAGCTATTCATGCATGTATCATGTGTAGCCCTAACAGCTGACTATGCTTTCATTGACTGGATTGAGTGTGTGTGTGAGTGTGTGTGAGGGATATCAGTACATTGCCATATAATTTTCTCCCACACCCACATTACGATCATCATGCAATTTACCTATGCCAGGTCTCCCTCTCTGAGCTTAAATCATAGACTTGCAGACTGTCCGATGTGCCTTTTTAAAATAAAAATCTGAGATGATGAAGCTGTCAGAAAAAAAGTGTAAATAAGAAAAAGTTAAAGGAAGGGGAACACACGTACAAAACAATGGACAGAGAAATATGTTTGTTCTAATGATGTCAGTTAGTCACCAGCTGTTTCCAGCCTGAATCGGCAGCCAAATGATTGGCATCTTCCATGGTTTGATATCCAACATATATTCCTAGATTTTGAAAAGGTTCTAGCTTATACACTTAAGATTAAACTAACCATTTAATAGGTTGATGTAATCACAAATTAATGAAATAATGGAAATAGGTTTCCGTTACATGCTCTTTTTATTGTTTCATGAGTGAAAGGGAGCTCTGCTGATGTGGTCCGACAAGCATGGTACGTATTGCTTCAGAGTATCAGAGGGGGAGGTGTGAGAGATGTCATGGAGGAGGCCTCACCAAAGCATTGCATGCAGTTAATATTTTTGTGGGAAACCCTGAATGTGTTTACACTAAAAATGTCACAAATAAAATGTTTTAATCAGGACAAGTCATTGTGCCTTTATTGCGTATTTTCTTTGTTTTGTTATATTTCTTGTCACACTAACCCTAACCCTTTCAAGCGCAAATTAGAAATAACACGTTTATGTAGTATTATTCATTTTCAAACTAAAGAGTCTTCAGGGAATTGTGTTGGTTTGGTTGAATGTGTAGTCCCTGTGGTTTGGAGATGACGTCTTCCTCTGTCACAGTGGTTAGAGCAGCCATGTTTACTGGTGGTCTTGACTCACTCACCAGTTAACTCTTCACACATGCACACCCAGCCACTCACCCATGCACACGTAAACATCCACCTCACACAGTGACGTGGTTTCTGTCTGGATCTGCTGCCACAAACACAGTGCGTTAAATCATTTTTCACCAGAAGGATAATTTTGTAAATAAGTGAAAGGTTGACTGTGTGTCTGCCTTCTTGCCTGGTTTTACTCTGGTTGTTAGAGTTCACCACTGACCTTTTATGAACAATATTTTTCTGTCTGTCTCCTAATATCTTAGTGAGGAGTTTCACATGACATGTGGGAAAATATGTCACACACAGGATTTGTTTGTAGGGAAAATGTTCTGTCTGTATTTGTTTTAATCCTTGTTCATCCTCTCTGTCCCTTCCAGAGTGACCGAGTTCTGATTTGGTGTGAAAACCACAGGCGCTGCACTCAGGTAAATGACTCATAAACTTAAAAAAACCATACTGAGCTGTAGGTACGGCATTCACAAAGGAAGGACGAAGTCTATGCAGGCCTGAAAGTTGGAGTTTATATAACTTCTTGTGTGTTTATAAAGATGTAGAATGTGTTGGGTTAGATAGTGTTTACATAAATATATAGGGGTTTAAAACAGAAAAAGATCAGGTAGGAGGTTCTTCATTTTGGCCGTGTTCACAAGGAATAGTAGTTTGTGCATGGATGCTTCTGGTAATCCCAGGCTCTGCATGAAGAATGTACACATAATCATAATCATAATCACTCCTAATCTTCATCTTATTATGAAAAAACACTTTAAGAAATTCATAAAAGCCCAAGGTTTCCTACAGCTTCCAAGGTCTTTAAATATGTGAAAATAGTGAAATGGACATATTCTTAGTTATCATTTGAGTTCTAGTGTGTTTCTTCTTTTGCTTTTCTGTGGACTGCTGAGGCCCCCTCATGACTTCTGTAATGGAAAAGGTATTTTCAAGTTTAAAGTTAAAATTGTGTTCTTCTCTTCAACTCCCTTATCCATCCTTCATGGAGCAAAAATTTGCCCTGCTTACTCTTTTACCACTGCTGCCAAGAGGCTGCAGTGTGTGCGTGTGTGTGTTTGTGACTGTGTTTCAGTTCATTGTTTGATTCATAAGGAGTTTCCATGCCTGGGTATTTTTAGCTGACAGTCTGTTCTAACTGCAGCTGTTCCAGTTTTTTTTCTTTTTACAGCTTTCTGGTTGGTTTTGGACAGAAACAAGTTTTTTTTTTAAGGTAAATTATTTTATTTTCATTTAAGAAAGACCTCAGCATCTTTTATTGATTACTAAGAAATAATGGTACTTCCTTCTCCACTGATCTAAATGTCTGTTAGATCTGTCCACATTGACCTTTTACTTACCGACCTGATCTCACACAGTATCAGTTACTTCTTTAAAGACTCTGTCTCGGTACTTATTGATGTGTTTCATGAACTTCCTGTTCAAGTTCGACCTTTCTAAAAGCTTGAGCCCAGCTGGAAACACACTCGAGTCATATTTGACTTTTTTAAACATTTTACTGCTTTGCTAGAAAATCACATTTCAGTTGAATAAAGGATCGGGTAGAGACAGGCACAGTAAGAGCTGTACATCGGGTATTTCGGTAGTGTATGTATGGATTTATAATAGGGTCAGCATGGGTTAATGTCAACAGAAGCCAGGAGCACACTCCCCCCCACAACTTCCACCAACAGATCGTTGCAGGGGATACCACACTGAGTGAAACATCAGACAACTACTTTGAACTATTTATCCTCCCCTTCCACCTCAAACAAAAGCCACGCAGCACATGCAGCCCCTCTGACCTTAAACTAATCTGTATTTATGTGCTTTTTTTCTCGTTTCCCTTTTCCTTTACCTGTAATCCTGATAATCCTGCAGCTTCAACTTCAATAGAGAAAACTTGAAAAGTACAGAAAATACTTACTAGTTGTCTAATCTGGATGATTAAATTAGACATTTGTGAATATCTGAAAGGCTAACTGATGTTCAACAACACTCTCATAAGCTGAATCTTTTCCTCTCAGACATCCCGATACTTCCCACACATGCGCAATGCTTCTTGTTTGAATTGCAAGTTATTAATTCTTACTATTTTACAGTCTGTTGAAAGTGGATACAGCCCAATTTGTAAAAGTCCTCATGGTAGGCCAATCAAAATAAATTGTAACAGAAAAGCATATATCTTAGTCTTGAGCCATAATAGCCTCGATTAATCAAAATAATTAATTGCATGGGGAGAGGATGTCCACCAGTGTTTAATACTCTCAAGGTGAGTGTATTTGTAATGTTGGAGATGTCTAAAGTGTCTGGGCTTTTTATTGATTGTACACCTTGGGCTCATTATATAATCTGCACAGTTAATTTTATTATTGTTTCATAGACTAATGTGGATTCTGTTTTTTTCTGCTCCGCACTTTTTTAATTACAGATTCCAGAGGAGGCTTATTGCTAAGTACATTGAGAAAAACACATTGTTTGACATGATATGTCAGTCTGTCAATCAACTGTAATCCTGAGTTGATGATCTTAATTAGGACCCTCAGACTTTTGCCATGCTGCTACCCTAAATAATGATGATGTTTTATGATAATTGGAATGATTATTTAATAGGTTTTGTGAACCAAATACTTTCACACAATCAGTATTTCCTTTAATCTTAAGAAACTCAGATAAGATATATGAATGGACAACATGTTGGTATCTAAGTATAATGATATCAGTGCAGCAATTAATGAAGACTATTTAAAAACACTTTCTTCTAATTATGATGATACATTTTTTATATTGATTTATTTAAGTGTACAAAAAGTATATATATATAAATAATCTGATATTTTAGAATATTGATATAACAAAATATACATCAAACAAGACAAAAATGTTGTGACATTTTTTAAATATAATAAAATTTTTTGAAGAATTTTTCATAAAGATCTTACAAGTCTTTGCGCACTGTGATTTCAGGCCTTTTCTTCATGAAGCTACTTGCATTGTATGTCTGTGAGACTGGGGCTTTTAGTGAGTCAGAAAGACTGTTTGAACCTGTCTTCCACTGCAGGACCTCATAAACCCTTTTGGCAGTATAGCACACTTCAAAACTTTTTGACAGAGACATTTACGGAATAATTTAGGGACTTGTATTAGTTTTCCCTAAGCTCCTTTTGGGTCCTTATGCAGGCTTGGAGCAGCACTGAACCAAGTTGTTCTCACTGGGTTTTTGCATGTGTAACACATCGTCAGTGTAATTGCTCACAGTCACACACCCATCCACCCACACAAAATGGTGCATGGTGAAGCTGAATGTAATTTCTCTGTGTTTTCTATGTCCCTTTAGGGGCTTAAACATGTAATATTTCATTACCTACCAGATAAAGGTTAAAAACAGGTTTTAAATATTACTCGAGGGATTTCTTTTCTTTTATAAGTTTCTGGTTTCTGTTTTAATGAAAATGTGACTTTTTTCAGAATGTTTCTTTAACATAAGTTGATTCATCTTTAGCATGTCAAACCTTTATATACCGAGTCATATTTCTCTCAAAATGCTCCCCTAATGAGTGGAGCAAACTCAAATCATGCAGGAAAACGAGGGGATGAAAGAAACAAGACGTGCGAATGTAGGTAAAACCCCGGGATAAATAAATATCGACTATCTGTGTTCCTTTGATTCATCAGGGGTTAGTATCCCTTTATTAGAAGCACAAACCAAGCAGATGTTGCCCTCACACATATGGTTTGCGTCACATCATCAGTGCACTCATTCTCAAGGAAACACTCATGGGAGCTCACAAAACCTGAACTGCTACCCTCCCTCAGTTCCTCCATCTGTCCATCTCCCCCTTCTTTTATCTCTTTCTCTTTCTCATACTTTTAAAGATCACATTCACACACATGCACATACCCCCCGAGTAGATGTAGTAATGTGTACCAGGTGTTACAGGCAGCAGGATGTTCGACAACAAACCGAACAAAGGCGCAGAGGTATCAAATCACGGTGAATCTTCCTGTTATCATCCTCTCTTTATGATTCAATCCTAAAAACGTGTTCTTTAGACTCTTGCAGTACGTGTAATGGCTAGTGGAGCTCTTCTTCATTCATAACATGTACTGTACATCTTCATAGCAGGGGTTCTTGCCATTTGCTCCCTTCAAAATGGCGTAGTCCGATTTGGGATTTTCCCGCTTGTCCAGATTGACTCCGGCTGTGATGTGCCAAATGTATGCATTTTCATTTCAACTTCCATGTTATACGATTAGAACGGTACACCATCTTGAATTTTGGTATGGTTCTGACTACTGATGTTTGATGTAATGGTCAGGAAAACAGCTCAGATCATTTGTTTGCAATCAAATTTACTTAATAATTGTAACAAAGCAGTAATATATATAAACTGATTCTGTTTTTAAAACAGTGAATATTTAAAGTTAGTCCTGGCCAAGCGTGGCATCTGTCAGCGGCAATCAGTTGTGTGTTGGCTATTGTATTGCAATAGTGAACTGAGATTGGAATATGTACCTTCTGTACAATTCTTAACCTTTAATGTAAAATTGTTGCATGTACTTGTGTTCTTTCATTTATGTATTTTACATTCTATAATGAGGTCACATTGAACATTCAGTGTGAGGCATCTGTGGGCACATGTGGCGTGAGAGGCAGAGTAGTTTATCACTCAGCTATCTCCAAGACTTGGCATGCCGTCTTTCTTGGCATCCTTCTTTTGATGCCTGTCGGTTTCTGCTCTTCCTTCATGCTGATGGCATTAGTTCTGGTTGTTTTACATGTTCTTCCACGAAAACGGCAAAAATGTTCCATGCTTTTTTTTTTTTGCTGTGTAAGTTTCCCTGAGGTGCCAAAAATATTGTTTATTGTTTGTTTGTTCATCCATGCACGTGCCTGTTAATTGCTATAATTTAATTTTTGTCTTTCACATGTGTTTGCGTTTCTATACACTACACTACATATCCATCCATCCATCCATCCATCCATCCATCCATCCATCCATCCATC